TTTTCATTATTCTATCTTATAAGTACCCATGGAAGCTATATACATCAAAAACTAGATACTAATGGCTGTTTTGCGAAATTGAGAGCAATTTCAAATCTGTTCAGTTTTTTTATACACCCTGTATATACGCAAAAGGATATTATAAAAAGTTTAAAAAAGGATATTATAAAAATCTCTTCGAACCTGGAATCTTTGAACAATTCTATGGTACTTTTAATACCTCGATAATAATTGCATTATATGTCGTTTTTGAAAATGCAAATTATGTGTTGAAGTTATATCATTTTCAAACTAGCATTTTAAGGCCCTGTCACACTATTGCGTATCATACTAGCGTATCCCAGCGTATGAAAAATATCACTCATACGCCGGTATACGCTGACATACGCTAGGGGTACGTTAGGCATAGGTTGTCATACGTTTCAAGCACGGTCGCATACGGTGGCATACGCTGGCATACGGCGAGGCAGAAAATTTTTTTAAGCATGTTCAAAAATTTTGTGCGTATCGGACGTATGCTTTATACGATAAGCATACTCTAGGCACACGCTGAATACGCTAGAGGTACGCCAGATGTACGGTACTCATACGCTGGCATTTCAAAGGATTTTTGTGCGTATGAAAATTATTTCATTAATTTTCATACGCTTCTCATACGTTTCTCTCATACGCAATAGTGTGACAGGGCCTTTAACAACACAAAGGAATGCATGATATTCTTATTATCATTACCTCAGGTGTTCAGCGCTCTTTCTCCTCTCAGAAGCACTACAGATGAAACGAAACGTTTTATTATGGTAGAATGATAAATGAAGAATTGGTAATGTAACACCAAATCTATATAGTTTAGCAGAATTAAAATATAAATGAACCATGCCCTTATATATGTTCCGTAATACATTTTCCATATGCTATAGGTTTGGGAACTTTAAAATCTCTATATTTGCTTAAAAAATTTACTTGAATGTTCATCAAAATTAGAAAAGATAATAGTTCCTATAAGATTTTAATAAAAATAGTGGGTGGAAAATAACCTATTTATATTTTTCCACATTTAAACCATTTTTCCACATTTAACCAAATGTTAACTCTATTTACTTCCTTATTTATTTAAGTATTTTCCACAGTGGCGTAACGCAACCGCTGGGGACCCTCCGTCAATCGGCCACTTTGGGCCCCTTTGCTCCACTAAAAATAGGCTCCAAAAATTTTTCTCGGAACAATTTATTTTTGGCGACCTCCCCCCCCCCACCACCACCCCCACTCGCCAAAAATTTTCGGATATTGTACCATTTTAGGGGTCCAAATTTTTTTACGGACATACCCAATGAAATTGCAATTAATTCATTCTAGTATCTCGTCCTTTACCTCAGCCGCGACGTACTTAATCCGTCGCAGCTTCGGGAAATTTCTGGATGGATTTTGCCTTTTCCAGAGAATGGGTTATTTTTATTCAATTCAATTCAATTAATTCAATTCCCCAGAAATGTGCTATCAAATTTTTTAAGGTCATTTTTGTCGGGGGCCCCCCGTCACTGGACACCCTGACACCCTCCCGTTACGCCACTGATTTTCCAGTCAAAGAGTTGAAAGAGACGATTGTTCATAGAAAATACTTGCCGCATTATTTGCAAACAAGTGAAACTCAGAAAATAAGGAACATTTTGGAAAATCATTAATGCATGTATACGAGAAATAGCCATGGGTCCATGCAAGTACAGATCCCTGCGGTACCCACATTTATTTTTTATTTAATTTATTTATTTGTTTTGTGGATTGGACCTTTTGGTTTTACCCATTGTATCTTCGTTTACTGTTCATGAGGTATGTCATATAGCATTAGGCATGTATTTTTGATGGTATTATATTGTTTTTGAAGATATTATATAAATGAACTCAAAATGCGTTTTAAACTTTTAAATTTCGCACCCTAAAATATATATAATTAACCATCACTTGACAGATCACTGTCACAATTACTTAACAAGCCTATTCATGCACTCTTCTCTCTCAGCCATGTTTAAATGAAAGCCATGTTTGAGATATCTTCGGGAATATTTTATCGGATGAAGGAATGTAATATATCATTCAACTCGTCTGATTGGAAAGTTTAATCTTTTAAATTAGTAAATGTCTTACCCAGCAGGAGATGCAAATTTTATACCACGCTGAAATCCAGGAGAAGTAGCACTTACTGAATGAGATCTGGATTCTATAGGTATGAATCAATTCATATTAATATAATATGTTTACAAGTAATGTATTCTTGTTGCAATAATTATTACTTGATTTCTACTTTACCACAGGCTGTCTTAAATAAAAGACTAAGCCATAATTCCGCCGGTAAGTTGTGTTTAAATTAAAACAAATCAGGAAATAGTAGGATAACTCATTTTACTCTAACGGCTATACAGTAGGTCTTAAAATCAACCAAGATGGCCGGTCAATAACACGTATAGTGACGACATGCGCAAACGAGAAATACCTTTAGCTTGTGAGAATTGAGATTGCAATAATCGTCTAATTTCCTGCACCCAACATTTCTTAATATCTTCTGACGGAGCCTGAAATCATCAAGTGATATATTTCGTAGTGATGTTACTCTGAGTGTATATACACACCGGGCAAGCTTGAAAAATATGCCTGACCACGGTGGGAATCGAACATACGACCTTTGGAATACTAGTTCAATGTTCTGCCAACTGAGTTACTAGGTCAGATCGGTTCGACTATGTGATATTTCGGAACAGAATCTAGTTCCTTCGATATCAATGTAATCTAATAATCAGCAATGATTTTTCTGTGTTGGTGTAATGTACTCAGGTGATTATGATGCTTGTGATGTTACTCTGAGTGTATATCCACACCGGGCAAGCTTGAAAAATATGCCTGACCACGGTGGGAATCGAACCTACGACCTCATCATAATCACCTGAGTACATTACACCAACACAGAAAAATATTTCGTAGTGTTTGCATATATATATATACAAGTCTTTTTTTATATACTCTTTATAATAATGCACAATAGCTGGACGAGTGTAAGAGTGTTGCATTTCAAAGATTTACCATATTGGTTAGGCAGTGAACACAACCTGTTTTGAATGCGTCTCTGGCATTGCACGAGCACTGCATGTGCGCTTCGTCCAGACTCGAACTCAAAAGATCTGAGCCTTTACCAAAATTGTAAATATTGGCTATAGCTAGAAACGCCGACAAATCACGTGAAGTACAGTGCGAACCACGATATTAGTTATGTATGAGATTTGGGCATTATGTCTTAGAATTAGGAGGGCAAAACATAAATACACGTGACATGTTTTTTGTTTATAGTGGAAACATCGTTGCAATGTTTACATTTCATATTAGTCACGTGATTACAAAATCCAGGGGTTCCTCTATAAAAGAGGTGGTCCACGGTATTAGTTTCATAAATCATCCGGCAATATGCGGCGTAGGAAGGACTTAACAGAAGCCGAGAAAGCCACTATTATAAAAGAAATGGCAAAGGGCAAAACAACCAAATCAATTGCTGAAAGAATAAATCGCCATGTGGTCACACTGACAAGATTTTTACAAAATCCTTCAAAGAGGAAATCTCCTTCTGATCGCGGCGTTAGGAAATCAGTGACAAAGCGGGATATGTATCGCCTGAGAAGAAACCTACGTAAAATGCCAGAAGCAAAAAGTAAATGAATCTTTAAAGAAGCAGGTCTGCCAGATGTACCAAAAACCACCCGAAATCGTATCCTTGGGAAGCTAGCTTCCGTCAAGACTATGATTAAAAGGCCTTCCTTGACACCTAGGCACAAGCGTTTGCGGATGGAATGGTCAAGAAAGTATATGAAGACAGACATGAAGTTTGTTCTTTTTACTGACGAGTCGAGAGCGTTACTAGATGGTCCTGATGGCTGGGCTAAAGGATGTGTTTTCAATGGTAATAATTGTCCTAACAGGATGCGGCGTCAACAAGGTGGTGGTGGTGCGGTTACGATTTGGGGCGGAATCATTGGAAATGCTATCATTGGTCGCTTCCGCGTTCCTGAAGGTCTAAAGTTGTCCTCAGCCACGTATTGCCCGTTCCTGAAAAATTCCCTTTAGCCATGGTTGGATAACCTTCCTTTGGCAACATTGAAGAAGATTATCTTTATGCATGATAATGCACCGTCCCATGCAGCAAAGGCAACAACGCGATTTCTTCACTCACTTGGATTTGTGAATGAAACCCTGATGGTTTGGCCTCCAAACTCACCAGATTTGAACCCAATAGAGGACTTGTGGTCAATTAAATCGTCATGTTTATGCGAATGGCAAGCAGTACTCATCAAAAGATGATCTGTGGATGGCCATCAAAGAATCAGCAGCCACCATGCCTAAGTCCACCATCGAGAAACTGACTGATTCAGTGAATGAGACTTTTTGAAGACATCAAACGTCACGGGGCCCATGTTAATAAATAAACTTTTTCTATGATTTGTATTGTTACGTTTGCCAATTTCATCAACGTGTATATTTCCAAAAATCTGTATTTGAATTTATAAAAATTTGAAAAAATTAAATATCAATAAAAATTTGAGACAATAACTTATTGTTTAATTTGTTCTGAACGCTGTCAACGTGGTTTTTCTGAAATATAACTAATATCGTGGTTCAGTAAAAAAAGCACATAACATATAAAACCCTTTATTTTATATACTTTCGTTAATTAATTAAACTTGATTCACAGTTTTTATAGTATTATATTTGATAAATTGAGCAGCTGTGTAGAGTTTTCAGCTAATATTTCGTAAATTCAATAAATTTTTATGGCAATTTGCGTTTGCGTAATATCGTGGTTCGCACTGTATGTGTTCTCAACGAAGTGTTTGATAAATAATAATATTTGAAAGTCACTTTAATTTAATTTATAATTAAACTAAATCCATCAGACAGGAAAATTGTGTCTATTTTTTGGACGTTATTACATGAATTCCCGTCGTATAAGGCACTGACAGTAAAGATTTAAACGTTCGTGTCTTCCTCATGAATTATTATCAATTATTTTGAGAAGTAAATAGAGAGTGGGTGGGTGGAAGAAGAGGCTAAATGGATAAAAAATCTCGTGAGAGGTCTGTGCCAGTCTCGGTAGTGACATTAACACAAATTCCATTACCTGAAAAACATACAGTATAATTAACGCCTGTATTCTAAAAGCTCACTCACGCTCACACTCAAAGAGTGGAGGTTCAATACAGCTATACAAAAAACAGCATTGACACTTTTAGGGAAAGCTCAGATTGAACCTCCACTCTTTGAGTGTCAGTGAGCTTTTAGAATACAGGCGTATAGACTTCGACCTTTCGAGCGAAGGCAAGTCTAACTCCCCAGCGTAGAGCCTTCGCTCGAAACGTCGAGGTTTTACTTGTAGTTTTTACGTAGTTGAATCCCTCTCAACCTGTAGTTTCTGGTGTTATTAGAGAAAGGCTCATTTGAGGAGGGAAGCTTAATATATCGTTTACAGGAGTATTTTGGATGGCTATACTGCATTTGTACCTGCAATGTATAGAATTCTGATTTGTTCTGAAGCCACAGACCAAACTTTAGACGATCTTCTTTAACAGTTTCAGTGAGACCAATGTCAATCAGCTAAAAATTCGGAAAACGTAAGCATAAGAAGGGATATGAAAGAAGGGAATAATTGGAAAGACGAAAGCGGGAATAATGGGAAAGACGAAAGCGCACGAATAGTTCTAAAATTTCTTTTCAGATTTTCAGATTTTACACTTTACTTGTGTAATTGGTTAATATTTTTTGTGAAAGCTGCCTGTTATCAACGAAGCAACAAGATGACATTGAATGTAATTGCGAGTAAAATATTTTTGCACAGTTCATATCGGATACCAGATATTTGACTAACAGTAGTTTTGTCGCTATATATATATATAACAAAACACTTAATGCCTGCTCCAGAGGGAAATAGTCAGTTTTCTTCTCCCGCCCCCAATAATGTTTCCTTCGGCTTCGTCTCGGGATCGAACCATTGAGACTCCGTTTCCCTTGGCATCGTCTCGGGATCAAGACTCTGGGGGAAACAAAACTAACTATTTCCCACGGGAGCAGACATTAAGTGTACATTGTCTTACCTTTAATGATATCTTACACTGATAATACACAGTATCCTTGACCACTTCATCGTCACGTTTTGTAAACACGACCATCTTCTCGTAGAGAAATACCTGCCTTGGCTTGCCTTTGAAATGTGCTATATTCATATTGATAACATGTTTCTTATTAGACTGCCACACAACAAAGCTGTCTTGCATCAAGAGCTTGCCTTGATCTCCCAAGCTACCGAGAAATCCACGGATATATGTCGAATGCATTACATCATTGAGGTTTTTTAAAACTTTCATCATGCCTTCTAGAGCGTCCTCCAAACTGGCAAGACTTTCCTGAGACTTTTGTGAATATTTAATCATTTGTTTTAAAATTAGCTGATACTTTGTGATTCGTTGAATCGGCTTCAGGAGGTAAGAATCTAATGGTAGCTGATGTCCTAGCTTCTTCTGACATTCCTGGAAGAACGGCGCTTCAGCACATTCTTTTCTCAAAGCCTCCGAGCTAGGTTTATTCTTACAATACGATGCATACATTTGAAATTCGTTCTCTTTCGCCAAAAACACTTCGCCAACAAGTAATGGTTGATCTATACAAAGTTCGAGGTCTCGAAGAAATATATCTCGGTGGAAAACATAGACTTCGTAAATGTTACCAAAAATTATTCCTTTCTTTCCCCGGAGTTCACGCGGTAGATCAGGGCTGCCATCTTGGTATTCTTTCATATAACCTTCAACCACACACTGAAGGTCATTTACGTAAACTCTTTCCGTTTCAACTAGTTCATTCATTACCTATACATGGTTTCAAGAAATAATATATTTACACCTTTGAATTAATAGTGCTAGGCTAAACATACATGAAATTTATTTAAAGATGTCTGCGCATGTGCTATATGTGGACCCTGTGGTGTAAACATTACCCTAGTTTCGAACAATACCCAACGCAAGTTATTTTCACATTTTCTAAATTGATAGTCTAATCTATATATTCATTTAAAAGCACACCAAATCAGAGCGATGTTATATTAACTAACAACATTATATATATATATATATATATATATATATATATATATATATATATATATATATATATATATATATATATATATATATATATATATATATGCGCGCATGCTCACTGCTTGCAGTTTGAGCACTCTGGCAATGGTTTGATGTCCCACATTCGTGAGACATCAAAGGTAACTATTAATAGTGATATATATTGAAGAACTAGTATTGTTCGATGCTGAATTAATATAAACGAGTATGTTTATGACATTCAGTGTATATTTCATAATTTCCAGTCTTAAATCCGTCTGACCGTGTAGCTCAGTTGGTAGAGCGTCGATCTAGTAATTCGAAGGTCGCGGGTTCGAGACCCAGCCGCGGCAGACAACATCTTTCTGCTTGCGCTGGGTATGGAAATTATATAATACACACTCTAGAACATTTTCATCTTAACATATTACAGAGTGTACAATTACACAACTAACATAACTAACATATATATATATATATATATATATATATATATATATATATATATATATATATATATATATATATATATATATATATATATATATATATATATATATATATATATATATATATATATATATATGTTAATAGAGTATTTGAGGAAGTGGGTGTGATGACTCGAGCTGAAGCACGTAAAAGCAAACCTAATTATAAAGGGAAGCAGTGTGTTTTTGTCACCAAGTACAACCCTCGAGTGTGTGACATAGCCAATATCATTCGTAAACATCATGATATCATTGATGCTGATGAGCAGGCCTGTGAGATTTTGCCCAAACGTTCTATCCTAGTGGCCTATAGTAGGGGGGCCAATTTAAAAGAGCTGTTGGCCCCGTCTAATCTTTACCGAGGTGTTGAACCTGTAGGTCGGGGTTGTATTACATGTACAGCCAAGAGATGTGATTGCTGCAAACATTTTCTCACACCGGGCAATTCATTTAGTTCAACCGTGAGCGGCAGGTTGTTTAGTATCCGTAAGACCTTGACGTGTACATCTGAGAATGTGGTTTACCTCGCTCAGTGTGTGGCTTGTGGTTTGCAGGGGGTTGGTTCTACTATTAATTTTAAGCCTCGTTTGGCAAACTACAAGTCACATATAAAGCATAACCGTAGAACATGTGGTGTAGTTAATCACTTCATAGATATGCACGGGAGCGAGCATTTCAAATTTGAAATTTATGTTAATTGATAACAACAACGAGGACTTAAGAAAGTGTGAAAACTTTTGGATAGGCACTTTGCTCACTAATCTGGGGGGTTTGAATACCAGCCATGATTATTCCCAACAATAGGTTTCTGTAGGCTTTGTTTATATTGCTTTAATTAGTTTAATCACTTATATTGTTGTATAGGTGGCATGCTGCCGAAAATTTAAAGCTATATATATTTTTTTATTAAATAATTTCACTTGGAGTCGTGGCAGTGTTATAACCTGTTTGTATATATATATATATATATATATATATATATATATATATATATATATATATATATATATATATATATATATATATATATATATATATATATACAGTCGAACCCCTATAAGCGGACACCTCTCTTAAGCGGACACAAATCTCAGGTCCCATTCGTTTTCTTTAATAAAATACTATTATCATAACCCCTATTAAGCGGACACCCCTCTTTAACGGACGCGGACACCTTTCTGGAGGTCCCAATGGGCAAACCAACCTCTCTTAAGCAGACAGATGACAGATTTTCTGATAAAATGTATTCAATATTCGACAGTAAATAACAATTGAGATCAATTTACATGGCACATTGACAGTGACACACCAACCTGGCGCGAAGACATCAGAGCCAAGATTATTAAGGAAGTGACGAACGAAGACTGTGAGCCGCCAGCCAAAAAGCCGAAAGATATGTGTGAGATCACTGATGATGACAACGAATTGAACGAAGATGATGAATTTGACTGGTCTCTTAACGAACCACTCATTAAATCTTCCTCCGAAGCTCTTAAATTTGTCGAGTGGCTGGCAGAATTCGCACAATTTCGAGGTTGGAAGAACTTTCTAACGTCATTTTTATGTGAATGACATTATAATGGGCTATCGTCTGCGTGAGCCTGGGAAGCAAACTTGTATCGATTCCTTTTCTTTATGACTGTGAGAGACGTATACATTTTCTAATGAACTTTTATGCACAAAGAAATTTTCATTTTATGCTAATTATTTGCTTGATATTTTTTACTGTTTTGATACTCAAATTACACACCTAATTACACCCCTTTGCCTCCTGCTGTGTTTTTCTACATACCCCTTTTGAGCGGACACCCCTTTTAAGCGGACACTTAGGCGAGGTCCCGAAGGTGTCCGCTTAATAGGGGTTCGACTGTATATATATATATATATATATATATATATATATATATATATATATATATATATATATATATATATATATATATATATATATATATATATAATGTTATATCATCATGCAGGTTTCTACTCTTGTCACAACGATCAAGAAATACTCAGTTACTAGATAGTTCGTCTTTGGTTGAAGAACTTAGAGGTTAGTTAAAAATTATATAATAATCTGACTTCAATAACGGGGAGCCCAGGCATACATATGTGCAATATCTATTATATGTGTTATCTATTTAACTATATTGTATTACAAAAGATGAAAAATTGGACTGTAATGGTCCGTGATCTGTACAAAACTAGGTACGCGCCATTAGTTTGTGATGCTTCTGAGAAAGATGTGATTTTCTCAATATCATTTTAATTGTTGTCAAATGGCGTCAGGGTATGTCCAGTAATAGATCATGGCTCTCAATTGGTCGGAAAAGGCAAATTGAACTGAGATTGTCCTATACAAATATAGCTTATTGCTGCCGCAGCGAGCGAGCCTGAAGCGAGCGAGCAAGGCAGCAGATCCTAATTTTGTTTTGTGGGTCGAAATCAAAATTTTCTATTTGGCGCATTGCATGACGGTACCAGTGAATTTTAACCGTGGTGCAGCGCGGTCAGGCATAAGGCAAACAGGCAATGTGATCATCTTTCATCTTTGGTCTTCTTTTATGGAAAGCCATAGCTGGCTTAGAGTCATCAAACGGCATTTTGTTGGGTGCTTTTAGCATTTTCGGCGGTGCTTTCGGCATTATACACGGTGCTTTCGCCATTATACGCGGTGGTTCCAGTATTATACGCGGTGCTTTCACCATTTATATACGCGGTGCTTTTGCAATTATACGCAGTGGTTCGAGCACTATATGCGGTGCTTTTAATATTATACGCGATGCTAGCTTTCATTCAACATTATTTCCATATTCTTTCCATGACATGTATATGATTTAACGATTGCTTAAATTTGGTATGTGGTTGCCAAATGCTTTTTGCCTATGGTCTGCATGGACAATGACATGCTTTTCTTTGTATATAAATGAATATAACGCAGCGAATGCCCAAACAGTATAAACGCGGCTGAAATACGATATTAAAATCTTAAATGTGCCGTATGATGTAATTATGTTTTAGGATTTACAAATGCTTTGTTATTTGTATTTATACTTGTACTGCATCACAAGGCAGTACGTAAGTGAAAAAATTCCACATGTGAGATTGTCTTGTATACATTTTTGCTTTCTTTGATAATTATTAAACACGCAAATTTTAATTAGTGAGACGCAATGTTAAATGTCACCTGCATGTCATTGATCCCTTTAACCCCTGGTCTAATTAGCCGCTTTTGAAAATGTTGATCATGACGAACCGCACTGCCTTAATTATATGGAGGGGAATTAGGGACAAAATTGTTTCAGAGTCAAAGCATTATTGTGTCATCACGTTCAATTGTATCGTACTGGACAGGCAGGCAATTGGGTCGTACTGCATAGACAATGGGTCGTACCGGATAGGCATTGGGTCGTACTGGACAGGCAATGGGTCGTACCGGATAGGCATTGGGTCGTACTGGAGAGGCAATGGGTCGTACTAGATAGGCAATGGGTCGTACTGGAGAGGCAATGGATCGTACCGGATAGGCATTGGGTCGTACTGGAGAGGCAATGGGTCGTACTAGATAGGCAATGGGTCGTACTGGAGAGGCAATGGATCGTACTGGAGAGGCAATGGGTCGTACTGGAGAGGCAATGGGTCGTACTGGACAGGCAATGGGTCGTACTGGACAGGCAATGGGTCGTACTGGATAGGCAATGGGTCGCACTGGATAGGCAATCGATCGTACTGGAGAGGCAATGGGTCGTACTGGACAGGCAATGGGTCGTACTGGATAGGCAATGGTCGTAAAAGGAAATTGTCCATTTTTCGTGCGGAAATTTTGAAATGTCCATTTTCCGTAATTCCGTACGGAAATTTTGAAAAAAGGGAAGTAGAGTGGAAAACGTCTTGTTTTCACATGCAATTAATATTTTTAGAAAATTAAAAGATTTTGCTATAAATATCATATATTATAACATTTATAAGTAAGGTATATGTCGTCTCGTTCATCACAAAGTGAAGGTCAACATCAAACGCCACAGGAACTATTATGTAACAATTTTAAGGAGGTTATTTGCGATCTTTTAAACTACTTGAACGGAGTGGGTAATACTAATGGAAATCACGATGTTGATTTGGACTACGCTACGTACCGGCTAGACTGGCTTATTTCTTTGTGTACAAGGTTTGGAGATTATTTCGAAAAAGAAGAAACCTTCCTGGGATATCTACTCGAGGCCCAAGAATTGCTATTTGCTAGAAATAGAAGCGACAGCCAACAT